CTAAATTTCTCCGAAATTTCGTAAATTGTTATTATTAATTTTGAACTCGTACGTTTTTCATCTTGTTTTCCCTCATGTTTTATCGCAGAATTCAAATCCTTATGCAATCTACGGCCATATCATAAATGCAGCAAAAATAATATTTTGTGAAAGTGTCAAAAATTAACAAAGACAAAGATTCATCTGAAAGGTTTGGCCAATATGGAGAATAACAAAGAAAAACCAAACCACAATCTATTTCCTCAGATGTCATAAGAATCCCCACCTAATAAAGAAACGGAATAAATGGAAAGTCATGATTTTGTCTATGTGCTGGAGTTGATAAGACATTAAAAATGAGACTGTTACATTGCTCGTGTTTCGAGGACGCTTATTCTTATCACCATGAAGAGACAGTTGAAATTTCTAGGACACATAATGAGGAAAGAAGGTTTGGAAAATTAGATTCGGTCCATGGTATCCTAAGTATCCTTCTGTGGAACTCCATTTCTGTTGTTTTAATTTTCCTTTTCATAGTCGGAGAGAAGGCATGTAATATATTTTTTGGAATCTTTTCAAGTTACGAAATAAAAAACTTCCCTTACGTTCTTCAAACCTCTCTCCAACCTTCTTTTTTTCTTTTATTATTTTTTTTTTCTGGTATGTACTTATTTCTTTCCGAGTCCCGACCAGACACCTAATGTTAGAAATGGCATCATGACATTTTCCACTAAGCAATTAAAAAAAAAAAATCACACATATTTTACATAGACAAAGCCCTTCGTAAGGTGTGGGTTGTACGCGTGAGAACATTTTTTTGTATTTCTTTAAGGCATGTGCTACCAGGAATCCCTTCAATGAGTTTATTGGAATCTTTTCCAACAATCCGAGGGCTCCAACTACAACTGGGATTGTTGATGTTCTCATGTGGCACATTTTTGAGATTTTGATTTCAAGGTCTTTGTATTTTGAAAGTTTTTTGAAGATCTCCAAAAATTCTGCAGGGACTGCCATATCAATAAGGAGGCATTTTTTGTTTGCAATCTCTAATAATAATGTAAGGGTGATTAGTTTTGCTTGTTCTGTCTGTGTGTATTGTGTAGTCCCATAATATTTTTATAGGTCCTATCTCCGTAACCGGGTCTGGGTGGTGTTCATACCAGTTTCTAGCAGTTTCCTTTCCGTAGAAGTTGTAGATTTTCCAGTGCAGATATTGGCCCACTCTATCATGCCGTGTTTTATATTCAGTGAGTGACAATACCGTGCAAACTGATACAAGATGGTCAACTGTTCCTGGATATTAATCCCAGAATCTGCATTTTGGGATAATACAATTTTTCAGTATGTATGCTTGGTAATTTCAATCATTCGTCCTGTACAGCTAGAATAAAACCTTCAGTTTCAGCTTTTAACCCTGTACTACGTAGCCACTGATGGGTACGGGGATTCTTTGGTACGGACAAAGTACTGACCGTGAAGCAGAGTCAGCGTCGTCGTCCTCCGATGGCCAAAAATTACCTAGTTTGTCCAACTTATATTCGATGTATTTGGTAAGTTGTTATAAATATTGAAGACTTCTTAAAAATTGATAATCTTACACTATTCGTACTATTGTCCTCATCTTTGTCGTTTCGGCCGTTTTACGCTCCGGCTTCCTTCAAGTGGTTGGAATATCGAACTGAACCCTTTATTTCGCTCACTGGGGTAGACTGTTCTAGTTTCACATGCCATATTTAATGGATGTCAGTTATCTCCTGTTAATTTCCCTCTGAAAGTTCTCCACTGGTATTGAACTCACACTCTTTGGGTCTTGTCACTGGATCTAACTAATGCCTTTATCCACTATGCCATGTGTCCTTGAGGACATCTGTGTATGAATTTCTGGGTATTATAAACCTAATGTCATCAGCCAGCATTTTTTACCAGTGCTCATATTGCAATCTTTGCTGTTATCATTCGATGTTTTTACCAGAGCTCATATTGCAATTTTTGTTGTTTTTATCGCTTTTCTCTTCCACTCCTAATTAATGGTTCCCATATTGTATTCATTTCTATGCTTGGTCGGCTCAGGAGATTTTTGTGGCCTAGCATGTGTGCTGATTCCTTAAGTTTATGAATTTTCCAATGGTCTTCTTTGTCTATGATCTCAACGTGATCCCACAGTGGGCGGTGATCTCCCTTAATAATCTTAATATAAACGAATTAAAAAAAAACCGTCATTCATCTTTCAAATTTAACTTCATCTGTAGTCTACAAGAGGAAGTTAACAAACGGAAAAAAGACCGAACTTTTTACTTCCGGAATACGAAGAATGACGTACTTATAAATTAGTAGCAGGACTTGTACGTTGCTTAATTGCATCATCACTATCACTTTTTCGCTGCTGAAAGAGGAAGCTCCTTGATCTCCTATTCCAGAGATGTCTATTTTTGGTAATGCTTGACCATGTTGTACTTTCTGGAAATGGCTTATGGAGACAACGCGTTGAAAGCACTGGTTCGTGTATGATCACCGATATCAAGCAACGTCAACCCTGGCCAGTACCTAGATGGGTGACAGCTAGGGAATACAGCTTGTTCGAAGAATCAAAATTTCCCGGGAGTTTATTTGATATGATTGGTTTGACTTATTTTATAAATTTTAAAACATTCTCTTGAGTATGACATTTCCATGATCAAACTTGATTTTTTTTTTCAGCTGCTGTAAATGTTAAAAAATGGCTGAAAACTGAAGAAATTACAAGTGATTCTGTAAGCAAAGCCTTCTTGCTTCACAGAATGAGTCAAAGAAATAAACCCCGGGGGAAATTCAGCAGTACAAGCCAGCTGACATGGTTCTCGGCATTTCTGAGACGATTAAGAACCCAAATGAATTCTTTAATTTTCTTGAACTTTCTAGTGTTCCTTCTCAAAGACAGCAACTAAAAATTGGTACACTCGTTAAATTTCTCAGCAGTCTTAACTCTTCAAAGTTTTCACAATAGAACTGAACTACTTATCTTAACTGGGTTACTCTTGGGTACCATATAAAAGTATTGGCATTAAATTATTTCCGTCAATTCACTCTTCGCAATAATGGTAATATTAGTCGTTTCCATAGAAGGAAACATTTGACATTCACTGACCGAGCAGCCAGTACTGATTTCGGTTAAAATTTATAAAATCTTTCTTTTAAAACAATTTTTCAGGAAAATAGATTTTCAAGTCTGGTAGCTGTTATGCTTTTTCCACCATTGATTGGGGTTTCCTTCCTAATCTTTTATGTAAAGTTATGTAGAATGGCAACATTCTGCTTGAGATGGCATGTTTATTATTTTTCAAATAATTTTCTCTACTGCATGATTGTGTTCCTATTTATTAAACTTTTATTTTACCTAATGTAATTGATAGGGATGTCTTATACACAACCAGATATGGTAATTTTTAAAAAAATATTCGAATTTCAATCATATTGGCATCAAAGCATTTGTTCTGAAAATAGTGTGGATACTTTTGTACACCAAATACAAAGTTAAATTGTCTTTCAATTAATCCCTTTACCCACACACATACCCAATTTTATGTTTATCTGTCGTGATATGCTTACTAATTTCCAAATAATTTTCTTGGCGGAACAATTTTTTTTTTGTTAAGTTAATTAAACTTATATAAAAAAAAAAATTCTCAGCAAAATGTTTATTTGAACAAGCACGCTTATTTCTACAACTGTAACAATTCCAGAAGCCATTTTGTATGTGGTACAAAAGAATACTATTTGAAGTAACATTGAAGAGCTCAGAATTATTTTGAGGGATCTTTTATGTTAATTCACCCCAACAAATTATAAATGTTGAATCAGTTTGTTTTATTTGTTGAGTTTTTGGCACTGTTTGGAAATTATAAATTTTAAATCAAAATTTGTTTAGCTTTTCTCGCAACAACTCTAGCCCTCAAAATGAAAAATTACCAAAAATCTGCAAGTTATTCACATTTCGTAAGTGTGGATGATATTTGTGGTACTTAAAAGGAATTTGATACAATTAAAAAAAATATGTTTTGGGCTTGTTCATCGGGGTGAGCACGAACATAGACCACACATTTAGAAATAGCGTACCCGAGTCGCCCACATTTGGGCCGATCGCAAAAATCAGCCCAACTGGAAGAATTTGGTGTGAATTTTAGTATTTTTTTTTCTTTTTTATTATGAGCTGAATTAATATTGGGGTTGAGGGTAAATTAACAGAAAAGATGTGATTTTTTTGTATTGCTAACTTGTGTGAATGTCAAATTGATGAAATATGCATTAGGTAGTAGCAGAAAGGCCCTGAATTAAATCTAAAGAAACAAAAGAACACACCTTTAACCAGTTTAAAAATATCTAAAAAGGATCGTCTGGGATACTACAATGCTGCATATTCATCATGACCAACATTTGTACTCTGTCCAAAGGAAAAATCGATAAACAAACTGTTTACCGGCAAGAAGATGAATGAGAGAATTACCGCCATTACCTTTTGGGTTGGTTGTTAATGAATGTTCATATTTATAAGGTAAGGGACTGGAAAAAGGGGACAAGTGAATAAAGTACTTAAACGATCGCTGGTTGGTTGTTTTAGCTTGGTAAAAATGGTGGCAGGTGGAGGCAGTAGTCGTTGAGATGTTCAATAATTTATTCCGTCCTAGAAATGCTACATTCAGTCGGTGACTTACAGCGTCTATTTATGTTAATCACAAAATTTGGGTCGAGGGATGTTAATGAAAAATCAAGATATAGATTATAATGCTCTAATACGGATCATTGTATTGCTGTAACTTCTGTAGTCCACCAGGTGATGAATCTGCGGCCATTAATTCGTAAGATCTGCTAAGAGAGTTTGAACCGTAATTTTACAGTTTATAAACCATATAGTTAGACCGAATGTGTAAAAAAATTTAACTTCAATTTGAGTCATCTTCAACTGATTAAACAGATTAAAGAAATTGTTAATCTCCTGTTCATTTTAATAAAAGGTAAAGAAAAACAGCGATGCTAAGAGTCTTTACGTTGGAACACCGGTCCTAGTACAATCACCGAAGTTAAACAACGTCGAACCTGGTCAGTACTCAGACGGGTGACCGCTTGGGAATACCAGGTGCTGTAAGTTTAGATGTGCGGGTGGTGTAATAGATAACGGCTTGGAATTGGAAATCGGAGCCCCGAGATCAAATTCCAGTTTAGTTCGAGATCTTTTCTGTTTATTCACCCCAAAATATTTATTCACTCCAAAATAAAAGGAATTTATATTTACTAACATTCACACCAAAGTTCAGAAATGTCCTTTAAAATGTGTCCAAAAATTAATTCCATGTTATTTTTTGCCTTACGTCTCCAAAGGAACTCACACAATTAAGATTCCATCATGCTGATTTCTTGAACATGGAGTTATACTTCATTTTGGCGTCCCGTTAGGTAATTTCGATTGTTTGCGCATGAGCTTGTAGAGAACCGTATGTGTATTTAAGTGTTGTTGTATTAGAAACACGTGTGTAACTCCTGGTAGAATATTAAAAGATCCAACTACAATAAAATTGCAGGACTCAAGTTAAGTCCAACTGAAGATAAAGACAAACAAACAAACCATATATATATATATATATATATATATATATATATATATATATATATATATATATATATATATATAAGAATTAATTACACCTAGAATTAATAAGAAGTATCAATGCGATTATTGGCGACATCCGTCACTAGAAAACATAATATATGCATTAAAATCCTGTTCATCCATAGTGCGAGTTTTGATCCTCGAAGAAAAACTTGTTGTCTGTAGTTTTCAGTTTATTCGATGTTAAAATGCTAGTACTTACGGACGGTCTACCATCCATTATCAGGCATGTGTTTTTTTTCTTATAAAATCAAAACTTGAGACGATATATCTGTATGTCGACCGAAAGATGTTTTTGAATATCTGCTATTATTGACAGTTGTAAGATCTCGGAACGTGCAAGGACGCAACGCTAAGTTTTCAAAATTTTAAGTGAGAATTTTATTTAAATATTTCTTGTGATGTGTTAAATCCACGTATTCTATTTTTACAAGTGTATTCAGTTTTTATGTCATGAACTAAGTATATAGTTCAATAATATAGTGTAGTGTCATAATAGTAATTTTTTTATAGGAATTTTTATGTACTGCGGATCGATAGTTTTTTAATAAACATAACAATTTTACAATGGACACAGACAATGACATTAGCGTGTGTGTGTGTGTGAAAATTTCTGTCTGTTCTTTCGTGAATGTTCGTATTTTGGTGAATATTCGTATTTTGGTTAATGTTCGTACGTACGTGTATTTGTGTATAATGTTCACGGCATCTTCCACAAATGGGAAGACGCAGACTTTCTAAGAGAGCTTACATTGTAGTCGCTGAAATGAAGAAATGAAAAAGAGGATTTACCTCACCTCCACGCGAGGTGGGATGTGGCACTAGGCCTGAAGGAAAAAGAGAACGAGGCGAGAAGTCGCCCAGTATTTATAGTATAGGGAGAATGACCCCTAGTGACAATTAGGGAATTAAGGAGGAGCTAACTCCGACAAGCTGATATTTCTGGGGTCATTCATACTGTAATTTAATAAAAAGCAAACAAGCTTCGATTTAAAAATTCTAATTTCTTATGATGATCAATTAATATTTACGAATAAGTAACTTTACATTATTTGGGGTGAGCAGAAAACATCCAAGTTTCGTTATATTCACTTATGCACAAATAACCCAGTCAAAGTTATGAATCCATCTATTCACTCCCCAGCTATGGGTTAATTAGTAAGACTTGTGCCAGTAAATCATAATTATTTCAGAAAAAAAAATTTACAATCTAAAAAAGCCGTTAAAAACGAATCAATCAACTCTTTGAATCAAAATCTAAGGATCTTTAAGTTTGATATTCAAGTCTGGATACGTATTTGTGAATTTGTTAAATTGGTGATTTTTAAGTGTTAAATGGTTTCCTTTAGAAATTGCATTAGTTAATTTTCGATAACAATCTTGGTGTATCCTTTTAGGGGCATATATATATATATATATATATATATATATATATATATATATATATATATACTACAATTTACTTAGTTTAATAGAAAATTATTGTGTTATAATAGATTTTTATGGTTTTAACATGAAACAGATGTTTTTTTAATTCTGTAGCTGAAGTTTTTAAGAATATATATATATATATATATATATGTGTGTGTGTGTGTGTGTGTGTGTGTGTGTATATATATATATATATATATATATATATATATATATATACACATTATATATTACTTCTCTAAACGTTATTTTATGGATACCTATATTTCTGTATTTAAGTAGACGTCCGGTTTATTCTTGTTTATTTATTTGTTTTGTTTTGTTTTTTTTCATTAACACGATATGAAATACGTCTTTCTTACTTATATAAGAGTGCTCAAATTTAAATATTTTTAAAAACCTTATATATATATATATATGTGTGTGTGTGTGTGTGTGTGTGTGTGTGTGTGTGTGTGTGTGTATGTATATATATATATATATATATATATATATATTCTTTGAAGAATATGGACGTTTACATCATTTTTAGGAAATAAATAAAAGTAGAAAGAAGTTTTGTAAAAATAAAATTAAAAATTAAAAAAATAATAAAACATGATTTTTTTGAAAACTACAAAATAGTAGAAATTTTATAAACATGCAAATGCTTAACTGCGGTTTGAAACTGAATCAATGGACTCTAAATTCGAAAACTGAACTCGAAGATAATATTAAACTTTAAATAAAATAAAAATAAAAAAACAGTTCAAAATCTGAAGCAAAGTCAACGCTAAAATGTGATTTTATCTTCGACAATTTTCTCGACTCTTGAAAGAAAAAAAAACGAGAAAATAATACAGTGTAACCCGGATGTAAGAGAGTTGGCGGGACCGGAGAAGAAAGTCTCTTATATCCGGGTTTCTCTTATATTCGGGTTTGGTCTATTTTATATACATTAACACAGGCTTTAATTTGGGACCAGAGAAAATCTCTCTTATATCCGAGTTTCTCTTATATCCGGGTCTCTTATATCCGGGTTACACTGATAAAAAATCCGCGTCATTTGTTTTTTTTGATCCTCAAAAAATATAATTTCGATAATATAAAACATTTTTACGTTATATATTTGTCAGTCATTCTGTCTATTCTTTCTTAATAATGAGACATTCATTTACTAATTAACAGGAAGCATTACTTGACGCCAATAAGCGAATATGTTTCATGTTACCATAACAACGGAATATTTAATTTGTAATTATAACACGTTGCTAATACATAACTTTTTCTTTTATGTTAGTTTTTTGCAGGGGTGATTATTTCTACTTATAATAATTTTAAAAAAAAGCAGGCTATAAGAGACCCTGATATAAGAGAAACCCTGATATAAGAGAGATTTTCTCTGGTCCCAAATTAGAGCCTGTGTTAATGTATATAAAATAGACCAAACCCGGATATAAGAGAAACCCGGATATAAGAGACTTCTTCTCCGGTCCCGACAACTCTCTTATATCCGGGTTACACTGTATATACAATATAAAACAGAATACAACTTTATATATTTATTGGACATTTGCTACTAAGATATTCCGTCGTTATGGAAAAAAGAAGCATGATTCGATTCCAATAAGCAAACATAGCTCATATTACTATAACAACGGAATATCTCATTGGTAATTACTCGGAGATGAAGCTGCTAGTATTTGAAGGATATGTGATTGTTAATACATTTTTTTTTTCATTGAATATTTTTCTTTAAATAAGTAATAATTAAAAAATATGATTTCTCCCTTACATGCGCGAGAGTTACTAAGAGTACTATTTAAAGTAACATTAAATAGCTCAGAATTATTTTGGGGATCTTTTCTGCTAATTCACTCCAAATGATGTAAAGTTACTTATCACGCATATTGATTCACCGCAAGAGATTATAAATTTTAAATTAAAATTTGTTTTGGCTTTATTCGCCAACTCCAACCCTCAGAATGAAAAAATGCCAAAAATCAGGGAGTTATTCATATTTCGTAAGTGCGGATGATATTCGAGTTACTTACAAAAAATTTGTTACAATTTAAAAATAATCTTTTTGGCTTGTTTATCGTGATGAGCGCGAACGTAGACCCCACAGTTAAAATAGAATTGTATAGTTAAAAATCCTAGTTTATTCACGCAGAAAAAATATAAACAAAGCAATTGCAAAATTAAGTAAATAGTTCCATAATTTTTGACAGCGTGAGTTGGTGTCTGCTTTCTTTATATAATTCTACCTTTAATGATGCCAAAAGAGGAATTCTTTCTTCCATGCAACAACAGAGTTAACTGCACAGATAAAAATCCCAGTTTATACTTGCAGTAGATATAACCAAAACAGTTCCAAAATTACTTAAGAAACACTTACACAATTTTTTGACAGCAAAAATCGTTAACTTTCTATGGATATTTTACTTTTAATGATTTAAAAAGCAGAAATTTCTCCTTACATGCAACAAATGAGTTAATTAATTGTATAAATAAAAATTGTGATTTATTCATGCTGAAATATAACCAATGCAATTTCAAAATTATTTAAATACTACCGCCATTTTTTACATCAATGTTAAACACATATTATAGAAGCTACTTCCATGAGAAACAAATTTTAAATCTGAACGTGTTTCTTGCATAAACAATTCTATACTAGTTTAATTGCGCCGTCAATAGTTAAGTAATAAATTCGTTATATTTTATGCAAGAATAATCTATGATTTTTATCTATACAATTAACTTGAGATTTATTGCTCGAAAATACAGCAATTGTGGCACAAGACCAAAAAGGGGAAAATAGTTTGAGGCTGGTCGTCACTCTCTTATACCTACCTAATCCAATTCACGACCCATTTATTCGTTACAATTTACACATCCACTATAAAAAATAAAAAAAAAAATTAGTCCGTCATCATTCAATCCTCCACACACCACATACACACAGGAGGACCTATATTAAAAAAAAAAAAAATACACCCCATGACATAAAAATTCGTGTATATAAAATTATATATAAAAGTTTATCGATGATAAGCAGTGAGTATGGACGGAGGTGGGGATGAATCCCAAATCAAACTAAAATTTAACAAAACACACAAACTAAAAATAATTGATAGTAGGACCCGTCCAATCCTCAAAGGAAATGAGAAAGACCGCTGTATTCTGTCTAAAAAATTAACTTTTTTTTTTTCAGGCAAAATTATAGAATCTGTGTAGGTCTCATTTCTTTTTGTACCCGTGTAAACTACGCTAAATATCTGTATCATATTTCTTCCTTTGTTTAAATATCATAATTTTTTTTTCACTGAGCTTTTAATCTTTGCTTGGCGATGATAAACACAATAAACATATTATGTAACTAAATTTTATGTTACACTTTTGCGGTTCTTGACGTCTGCATTCGGATGACGTCATTGATTAAGAGCGGCAGCCCCGATAGGAGTAAAAGTGCATCGCTAGACAAAGAACATAAGACTGACCTCGATATAGTCAGCTTTATTTGTTTCCGGAGTTGATGCATGTTGCATAATGAAAAGTGTATTGCGTCCCTCTACTCACAGATGGGAGAGAAAGAGAGGGGGGGGAGAGAGATTGAGGAGATGCAGAGAAATGAGGCCACTGTCAAATGAAAAAGAAAAAAGAAAGAAAGAAAAAGAAAGGACGTAAGTGAAGTGAATTAAAATTATGAGTAAACAAAATAATAGTGAAAAGTTTAAGAGTTTCCGAACTAACACCAAAAGATGATTCAACGAAAAGAAGGAGTCTGCAATTTCCCTCGCGAGAAGAATTAGCCCGCCAAAACCTCTAACATTTTCCTACGCTCCCTGATTAAAGCAATTTTATTTCTTGGCGGGTGGAACAACTCAACGGGATAATGGAACAGACCCGAGAGGCTTTAATCAGGCGGTGGGGTTTGGGAGGGTTAAGTTAAATTAATCAACTTGTCTCTATACCGATGAGGTCACTGATGAACATAAACGAAAAACAAACAGAATAAAAAATGAAAGGCTAAAAGTTTACTGTAATTTTGGGGTGGTATCAAAAATACTTTTACAAACTTTAGGGACATGTTCCTCTCACCAAAACAAGACAAACGTCCATATAAAAATATGTCCGCAAATCCTTGGTGAGTTCCTGTATAAGAATCAAGCATCGTTTTTGAAACGTTTTACGGTGTAAGGGGGTGCTGAAATGTCCCCAGCCCAAACAATTTCCCCAAATCGGCATCTTTTCTGTTAATTCACCCCAAAATATTACCGTCCTGGGTAAGACGATAAACTACATCCGATAGCAAGGCCTTTGATGAGGCCAGGGTTAGGGCTAGGGTGAGTTTTTGAGAAGTGTTCCCAGATCCACACTGATCCGGGTAGTAGCACGTGTTAGGGTCCCAGCTATGGGCAACTAGTCAACCCCCAAACCGGAGTCAAAACATTATGAAAGTGTAAAAATACCAGCAATATATTTTTGTAAAAATTATTACCAGCAATACATTAAAAAAATATTACTAGCAATAAATTTTTGAAAAAAATTACCAGAAAAACGTTTTGAAAAAAAATATTACCAGCAATAAAAATCTTGTCGACATTAAATAACCCATTGAAGTTGATATGCCGTAAACCAAACCAAAATATTAATACACATCAAAACAAAAAGAATTTTTATTTACTAAAAATTGACACAAAAATTCAGAAATGTTTTTAGAATTTGTTCAGAAATGAATTGTTATTTTTTACCTTTCATGTTTTTTTTTTGACGATAGAAAAAACTCTCATAATGGTTCCGGGGCCTCCAACCGGTGACGATGACTTCCTGGAGGTTGTTCTCCCAATCCATAAGGTGCAATGATTCATCTCAAGATATAGTGGCTATATTCTTTAACGAGAAATAAATAAATATGATTTTATGGTCGGGAAGTCGTGACCCTTGGAGCCAATTCGATGACTTCTCTTTACAGCATCCACCAAGACGTCAGCGCCATCTATCCTGTCGATCTACTAAACTTAAACTCATATCATGTCCTTCAGAGCATTTCACCGACGTAGGAAGAATATTTAGTCTTTGTAAGAAGCAAACACCACTCTTCTTCTTGTCGTTACATTCTTGCATTAACTTCAAGGCAAACTAAACAAATTTTGATTTAAAATTCATAATTTCAAAAGAGTCCCAATAGTTCCAATAAAAAAAAAACTTTGAATTAAAATTTATAATTTCTTGGAGTGAATTAATGATTGCAATAAGTAACTTTACGTTATTTGGGATGAATTAACAGAAAAGATCCCAAAATCAAGCCAAATAACCAAACATTAGAATCGAAGGCGTGGAGGATTGGGATTTGGGGTCAGATCTTGGTCGATCAGAGAACTTTTCAGCATTGGGTGTTTTTGTCCTTTCTGGGCTGGAGTTACCTACCAAATCATCACTTTCCAGCCTTAACAGAGATCAAAATCGTTTCGATGGCCTTATGGTGGGGTTGACATAATTTTCCACCGAGCAATCCTTATCCCACAGATTCAACATTGCTATTTTCAGATCAAATGCTCCGACGAGGTCCATTCTTTAGTGATACCAGCAGAGACTTTTACAACGAAGACGCGCATTGCGACGTCCACAGAGTTGAATCAGCCCCGTTCCCTTATGCATTCTTTTCGTAAGAAGGGCGTTCCACTCCGGAAACCTCTTACTAAGAACCGTCATTTTCTTATCACTTTCGCGTTAATTCTACAATTGGCTCTTGGGCATTGCATTGGGTGAACCTTAGTAAAGAAAATATTACATGCTAGATTGTGAAGTTTAGTTCAACGAGTCAGTCTTATATTTGTTGCCATTTTTCTTCTGATCAGTGTTTTTCATTACTTTTATTATTTTACAGCTTCCTTTTTATTTGTATATGGATTGTACGCCTTGCACTTTTCAGAGAAAAGATGATTTAGTGACAAAAAGAAACAAAGTTCTGGGCACCTATAACAATTACATAATTGCCGTATTATACGCATGATTCTCCAATTCTTGCTTCAATTCCTGGATGCTATTTTTCCTGATTTCCAATGAATATCGAACGAAAGATCATTTAAAATAACATTTCTGTGGTAAAATTATTTACAGTGCTTTGCTATAGAAACATCATTATTTAAATGTCAAATCCCTTTCGGATGTAGGCGATTATGTCTTTATTATCTATGAATTATCATATCTTCTTGGAAAATATAGTGTAACGGTTTCCCATTGCATTCATAAATTTGTATTACAATCTGCGATATTTTAGAGATATTTTTTAATATGTAAAAAATGTATTAACGTTTTTTTTCAAAACTATAGACACACGGTTCAGAAATAATAAGTCACATGTTTTAAGGCCTTAAGAAATTGCTTTGCTTTCCTTCTGGTTAGCACGTATCAAATTCTCTGACTGACCATCATCATCACATTTTCAAAATTTTTAATTTTCTTTTTTACATCCTATTTCACTAGATATTTTAATTTCATTTTTTAAATATAATTAATTTATTGTTTTTCAGTGAGAGACAAACTGCAATTATTAATTATTTTCTTTTTTAGATTCAATTTTAGGGACGGAAATAGTGCAGGCTTTGGGCATATCTTCGTTAAAAAAAACGAACATAAAAATCAATAAAATATTAGACTAGTGAAAGCATTTAATTTTTTAAAAACTTTTTATAGTTAAATAAGCAGGTTCACTTAAAATTCGAAAATACTGTCACTTCTGTTATTCCGCCCGATAAATTGCCCAGACGTTAGTTGTCGATACATTGACATAAACATCAATTCACACCTCCAAAATAAATCACCACTGTTAGACATGATTAATTTCAACTAATTTTTCGCTGCAAAAAATTAAGTAATGTTTGTTTCCAGTTACATTAAATAAATATTAAAATTTCTAATTTTCCTCAAATAACTTTTGAAAAAGTATAATTGAATTTTACAAGATTTTTAAACTGAGAATTTCACTTTTGTTTACAAAGTTTTCAAAAATGGCGGACATGATCCATTTTATGTCAATTTTGCTGACTCAAAAAAATAAGATTTTTAGCTAAAATTTCGGACGTACTAGGAAGGATTAAAAAATGTAAAAAATAGTTTTGTCTTTCCTTTTAATAATAACATAAGCATTAAGACGATAATGAAAAGTGTTTATCAAGTTTGGGGGCTTTTTTCATCAAGGCATGTTCCTTTTTAGCGAAATAGGGAAACTCCCTAATGTAAAGTCATTAACAATTCATTTGCATTTTGCATTTAATGGCCCTATTTTGTCAGTAACTCTTCGACAAACTGAATTTAATTTGTTGATTTACGCAATCTACTTGTAAAAGTTCTGACAGGATGTTGACTTGTTGCTTTGAAGAAGATTTTGTTTTTCTTTTGAAAAGCGTTGACTTCCTCAAAAGATCTCTCTCTCTCTCTCTCTCTCTCTCTCTCTCTCTTCCTCACTCTCTCACTCTTCTTCAGTCTCTCTATCTCTCTCTCGCTCTTCCTCAATCTTTCACTCTTCCTCAATCTCCTCTCTCTCTCTCTCTCTCTCTCTCTCTCTCTCTCTCTCTCTCTCTCAAGTTGTTTATTCACAAAATAAACTACTTTTCACCGGAAGAGACATCTTTTCATAATTACGCATGACCATGTCTTTTGGCTTGTTTAGACAGTAAAAGAAAGAAAAAAGAAAGAAAGATGTAGAAAATAAGTAAGAAAGAAGTACGCGAGAAAGACAGAAAGAAAGAAAGAAAGAAAGACAGAAAGAAAGAATCATGTGTAGACGGACTAAGAATGATGAAGAAAAAAAAAAGGAAGGAAGAAAAAAGAAAAAGAAAAAAGAAGGAAAGAATGAAATAAAAGAAAAAAACGGAGAAATATTGTGGGTATATTTATTGCTAGATATCTTGACATTGACCATGATTAAATTATTACCATGTGTGCGTGTACGTTTGCGCGCACGTGTGTGTGTGTATGTGTGTTACTTCTGCAGATAGGATTCGATGGCAACATTCATCATAAGTAAACTGACTAAAGACGGTCGAAAATATTTGAAGAAGAACATCAACATTGGTTAGCTTCTCAACAAACCTCATGCGATAAGCTTTATAATTAAACTGGAAAAATATAATAAAATCTACACAGACAGATCTTGTCGGTTGAATTTAATAAAACTTGCTGCAGATGATGGCAGTCAACTATTTAAGCACGTATTACCATCGATGATCGATGTTTTTTGGTTCTCGTGAGTACGACGATGGTTCTAGAAGCCAACAAGTGACTTGCAATGCTTGCTGCAGATGTGGCAGATCAAGATGTTTTGTACAAGGACTGGCCTGTTTTGTAATGTCTGTTCAGTTTGCACGTGGTTTTCATGTGACGGGTGAGACGGGAACGATTTCTGCAGGTGTTCTGACACACCTTACATAAGTTATTTCCAGTGTAGTACTGATGGTAATTTGTGAAATGCCTACCAATATAACAATTCTTGTGGCTAACGAGGGTCTGCACTGGAGAGACATACTCAGCCACATTCGTTTCCTGTAAATTGATGGATCAATGATTTTCCTTTTCCTAGCTTCACGCTTGAAATTTCCCCAACTCGTTGCATGTTCTTTTCCATTCATGATCTTCTGTATGCCAGGAAGCAAGATACTCTTTCAAACAGACCTTGAAGCTCTTACTTGGTTTATGTTGGGGTTGAGTGCCATAGAGAAACTCGCCGTAAAGCATTTGTTTGGATAATTCTAATGTCGTGAAGGCGAATAATATGGCCTGCTCAACGATACCTGTCGTGATGAATGTGCATTTAGATACCGATTACATTGGCATTTTCGAGGTCCACGGTGTCTGTGCCAAGAATCGATCTCTCCAGAACATTAAAATGTGTGCAGTGCACAACTCATAGGACTATAGCAGATATGTAAGCATACTGACATTGTAGACTGCCATCGTTGTGCACTTCTTTCTTAAGTCCGTCCGTCCTCTCGCTCTCGCTCTCTCTCGCTCTCTCTCTCTCGCTCTCTCTCTCTCGCTCTCTCTCTCTCGCTCTCTCTCTCTTTTAGAGCTGCAAAAGCATCAGTTGCTTTCTTCACCTGAGAAGGTATCAAGAGCGCAGTATCTGTTCATAGGGTTCCCAAGCTATTTGACTTTGTCAGTTTTTAATCATGTGACACCCACCACCGGTGGTCGCGGTCGCAGCGCCAATATGGAACGTCCACTGGTCGCGATGTCAATATATGACACTGCGCCGTCGGCTCGTGGTCAACTCCCAGTTGCGGCGCGAAGCCGTAAGGTTTCTTCCACCAGCGTTTTGGGGTTGCTTTTCAGCTTGTCTTTGTATCTTAGCCAACAGCTCAGTAAACCTGAATTTTCGTATCCAGTCGAATACCCCGCTCATTCCACAAGTGATAGCAAAGTTTGCCGAAAGCACTGGTAGCCTTAGCAATCCGATGCATTATTTCATCATCTAAAGTTCCACTGTAATTGACTTTGCTACCAAGATTGGTGAAAGACTTTACATAATTCAGGGCTTTGTCTTCTACTCTCAATGGTCTCTCTGGAAATTTGTAGACTGGTGGTTTTTGTTTCACACCATAGAATTGCTTTGGAGTAGGACAAGGTTGGTGCACTACTTCAGTTTTCTTTATGCTAAGTGTAAGACCAAAGGCTTTACATGCAGCAGAGAAACGATTTATTAGATGTTGGGCCTCCTCAAAGGATGTCACAACAAGAGCAGCAGCATCAGCAAACAACAAATCCCGAATAATTTGCGTACGAAGGTGGGTCTTGGCTTTGAAGCGCTGATGATTGAAGAGACCACCAGTTGTTCGAAACTGAAACTTGACGCCACTCTCTGTGTCTGCAAATGCATATTTCAGCATCGCCCAGAAGAAAAGGGCAAATAGGACAGGGTCCATGATACAACCTTGCTTGAGGCCATTTGTGACATTAAAGGATTCCGACATCATACCATCAGACACGATATTAGCTTTCCTTCCTTCATGAAATATATATATATATATATAATATTTATTTTAGATATTAAAACGTTAAAAATCGCTACACAATTACAATTATGTTTACATAATTGTAATTGTGTAGCTAATTTTAACATGTTTTAATATCCTAAAATAAATAATATTTAGCTCTATGAAAAGAGGGCTCAATGACCTCTTTTAAATTTTACGTACAATGGAATCATATTCCATTTGTTCTCATTTTAAACACACACACACGCACACACACACACACACACACACACACACACACACACACACACACACACACATATATATATATATATATATATATATATATATATAATAGGGTGAGTTGTATAAATTGTCGTCTAAATTATGCAAAATTGAAAATAACACTGACATCTCATTTTCACAGAAATACGAAAGACTAAATTTATTCAATAAAATCCCCATTGGCTTCAACCACGGCTTCCAGACAACGTCAGAATCTCTTGCATTTCTTTTGGATGGTCTCCTTGTTTAAGTTGGTGAATGCTACCCTAATCCTTGCCTTCAGTTCATCTGGAGTTTTTTGGTCTCTCGCTCAGTGCGCCTCACACATAATAATCAAGGGAATTGCAGTTTGGGGTGGCCAGATGTAAGGGGTGATGTGGTCGCAGAAATTGTCTGACAGACATGACTAAGTTTTCCTGCTTGTATGGCAAGGGGCAAAGTCCTGTTGCTAGACATAGGGTCTTCCAGCAGCCACCTTATTCACTCAGGGCAGCACAACCTCCTAAAAGCATTTGATGTAGAACTCCGTGTTGACTCTTAGGCCGTGTGGGAAGATGAATGGAGGCATAACATCGCCATAACTAGTGATCACTCCAAACACCTTCATAATCACCATTAGACTCATCAAACTCTTCCAGTGTCCTCTGCACTGTCGTCAGATTGGCACAAAACACTGAAATGTTCATATTGGATCTTCCAATGTGAATGGCAAGCAGTACAGCATACTCTTTCCAAATTTCTAGCGGAGGGAATTGCGTCACGGTGCTCTTTTTCTCACAGACGTTGCCCACCGACTCTACTATATTGTGCAGTCGACAAAATCAAAAACAAACAATGCGCATGCGCGAAATTAAAAATATATGATGACGACAATTTACCTATCGCACCTTGTATGTATATATGTAAATTATTTTCAGATTAGAGTTTATCTGTAAAGGAACAAAATGAATAAAAAGACAAGTGGAAAATTTATTCTTAGCCGTCGCGTTTTGTCATCTGAGGGACTTTATCAAGGAAAATGTACGGATTTATTTTGTTGCACGTATTTATAAACCAAGCAAGGATATGGTTTATCAGGGACTTTACATTTGAAGACATTCATGAATATGTTTAATCAACAAATGAATATTCATGAACGTTCTCAAATTTAAAAGCTGTAATAAAACATCCTCGTATATAATTATTTATTTTGCTCTACTAAGCGTATTGAGCACTTTGTTTAGTTATTTTACTTTACTCGTGTCGGAGATTTTTTCTTTGGACTCTCAGCTTTGATTATTTTTGCCGGAAGTACATGTTCGTAGCTCTATCTGTTTTTTTTTTTTACCCTTTTTTTAATCCTTGGGTATTGGTTTGTTCATTCACAAGCTAAAACACCTAATGTTTTGCCGGACGAGTATAGATGCTTACATTTAAAAGTTTATTAGTGTATATATATATATATATATATATATATATATATATATATATATATATATATAGTATCTCTGTTTCCAATAACCACATTCCAAAGTCAACCTTGCCCTATTCCATTACAAAGTCATGACAAAATTTGGCTAAACTTTTATTAGGTACTTTAAAAGTATACGGACACGCTCCTTAATCCTCCCTACATAGAAAGAGGTCACGTCTTCATTCTACGTCACATCTAAAAATAAAGCCCATTGACGAAGAACCCCACTTCCAAGAATTTAAAAAATGTTTTCA